AAAGAGAAAGAAATTCTGATAGAATAATTCCTAGAATGCTTGTCTATCTTTATTCTGAATGTTTTGAGGATAGGTACATAGAACGGCACGAATATTCGAACCTGCTAAAAATATCTCAAAAAATTGAGCGCTTTTTCTTCCATGCATTGCCGTTGAACTATGACAATGAGTTACAAAGAGGATTTTCAAAAATATCTTAAGGGTCATAAATTTCGAATTCTTTAGCTCGGTCCCGAGTTCCTCACTTCTTACAATGAGATCACAATACATTTCTTCCAAACACGAAGCAAGTTTCATTTATGGGTAGCAATACTTTCTAGCTATTCAAGAATCAATGAAGAAGCCTCCTCTGTTTTATCCTGGAATCCATAAGTTTCTCAAATCCCTGGGTGTCAATACTGTTCTTATTAATGGCGCAATCTATCCCACGTCTGTATCAGCTGCTTCAAAAAACAAGATCATCTTTCCTATTTTAGGAAATTGATCCTTTACAGTGTTGTTATTTTTGCTTTCACTATCCTTGTGTGATCCTCCTTGCGTAAATAAAGTTTAGCTTCTTCGCTTCTCTAGAGAATTTCTCTACCTCATCAATGTAAGTTTAACCAAAAAATGCGTCAGCGAATGTTTTAGGTCCGCAGAACTAATGCGTCAGAATCTCAAGGTTGTCTTTTCCGTTAATGGCTTTTCTCGCGCCGTGCGCGAGCTCATAAAAACAGCGAAGTTTCTAGTGACGTCTGTTGATTTGCAGATTCGGTTGCTAGGGAATCAACATTTGTTCTTCTCCGCTCTACCGCGTCAAAGTAGACTTTGCCCTCGTTTACTTGAAATTTCTTGGCTTTGGTCCAAATGCAAAGCTTAAGATTTTCTTTCAAACCATTGGTAATTATAATGTCCGCAAGCTACATCGTTAAGAAAAAACATCAGAAATGTGGAAAACATACATCCAAAGTCGGTACGCTAAAAATATGACTTAGCTTGCTCCCTTATCAACGGTATGGATGCAGTAATTTCTTGATAATCGTCTCCACTGTCGTCCAGCTCTAGCTCAAGCAATTTTTGGACTACTGAGATTAATTTTTGATATAATTATGTTGAGACCCCAAAATGTCAGAAATTTTTAGAATAGCGCTTCCATAGTACTTATTTTTGACAGGTGTTCTATACAATTTTGCCAAAGTAGGGTGTCTGCAAAACAGGGCTCGGCACAGGTGGCTTGTAAGGAAACTGGAAATCGTTTTTGGGACAAAAGCAAAGGGGGTTTCGTTTTAGTGGCCGAAAAGACACATAATTTGCGACGTTTTTTTTGGCCGACGTTTGATTTTTTGGAGATTTTTCCAGAGATTATGGTCCAGGGTCAAAGTGGACTTCGTAAAAATTCGCAAAAGTCAAAGAGGACTTCGTTTTTTTTGCATTTCCGCCCTAGTACCAAAGATCAATCTGTCCTAATGTTATCTGGTTGACTATAAATCTCATTTAGAGCATTTTGCTCTCCTCCATGATGCGTTTTAGATTTCGTCGTTACTCTTGTCGATTGAATAAGGGCGGTAGTGCATGCTAGGACTAGTATACATTCACTTATGGAAATCTATTCCCAATCATCATAATATGTAGCTCTCAGTTCCTGTTGTTCTTCCGCAGAAACTAGAATTACGTTCTAAGTGGACTTAGCTGATCGAGCCGTAGAAAATTATCAAAAAGGTTTGATTAGAGGAAACATCGATTACAATTTTCTTGAAAGCATCAAGGCATCAAAAAGCCCGAAAATGGATTCATGACACAAATTTGACACCATTCCCTTTACGCAGTATTGGATTTCATTGCATAAAACCACATTTTCGGGCTCTTCTAGAAAGATGGCGTTTTTCTAGCTTCTGTAACGCCTAGGATAACAATTTTAACTCGTACACAGCTCATACCTCTAATTGAGTGGGCTAAAATGCTTTTGTCGGATGTTTTTGAACAAAGGTGATAGAAGCATTTTAGCGTTTTCCCATTCTGGACCTTGTGCTCGCCGTTTGATATATTATTGATATATTAGGTCGCTCCATAAGTTCGTAGCGTTGTCATTTTCGTCTTCATATCTTTGAGGAGCGGTTGCGACAAGACGCGTAGTTCTTTTGGAAGTGCTGAGTGTGCTGTTTGAAATACGCCTACTGATTCCGGTGGATAGCTGATTCACTCGCAGCTTCCAAAGATGGAAATCTTGAAAGGCAAAAAGGAGCACTTTCGACATTTGCGCATTTTTTCTCATTAAAAGAAGGCTTTTGCACAGATTTTTGTGTCGATCATGCAACATGGGGCAAGCACATCAATATGAGACAAAAAAGGGTTGAATTGCTACAAAAGATCAGGGGAAGCAGGGTGTACCTGACATTTCGGGGAACGGGCAGGACGTCCTGCACTGAAAATTGCTGTTCAGGTAGGCGATGGTCAACCACACCGTAAGCAATCCAACTGCAATTTCTTAGCGAGGTCGTAACGCAGAAAAAGCCAAAAAACAGATTCAATGAGTTTTTCTGCATGACGAAACATGACCTCATACGGCAAACGTCGTCAAAACTGTCCTACAGGAATTGACTAGGAGGTACTTCTATTAGATTAACAGTCGCTCCGCTCTCTAGCAAACCTCATGAATATTGCATGTCTTGATTTTAGTAAGCAGTTTGAGCGCTGATTAGATGATTTTTTTGGGACCCGTTTGAAAAATTGAGGTTGAGAAGCTAACAAGAATGTGCCAAAAAGTCGTGCGCTACAAAGAGAATAAATATAATTTTGATTGATTTTTACTGTAAATTGATGATTTTGTTGGTTTACAAAAACGCTACGAAGTTATGGAACGACCTAATAAATTTTGAATCATTGCTTTCCATTCCCGTGCTTAGAAACCAGCGTGCTGCCAGGAGTGGAACAAATATTTTGCATTTCTGGAAATTATATAATGGTCGTTCCATAAGTTCGTAGCGTCATTTTCCTCGTCGTTTTCTGGTGAAGCAGTTGGTTTATGGCAAATTATGTGGTATTAATCGAAACAGCCAAGTTTTTTCTACAAAACCTGCTTGTTGTTTTTGAAGCAATCCTGATGATCCTTGGTTCATAATTTCTCAAAGCAAAGTTTTTTAAGTGGCAGAAAATGACCATTTCGGCACCTGTCTTTTTCGCATTTCGTCCATATCCCACAAATATTTCTCTGTATGTATAGTCGGAGTAGCAAGTAGCAAGCAACGCTGATGTGCTGACACAATGTGTCCAGCCGTTATGCTAAGAACTGTTTGTACGAAGTCTTGAAAGTTGCTGTCTTCGACTGCTGCAGTTTGAGTTTTACGCGTCGTTTCGTAACAGAATGTTCTGGTCCTGCTATCAAGCCTTGAGCGATGAACAGCTTTGTCTAGGTGGTGCAAAGGTTTGAATGCAACCGGTGACTAGCGATTTTACGCTTTCCCGGAAAATTTTGGCCCAGAAAACTTCCTCATTCCGGCCAAACGCAAAACGTCTACACATACCGTAAAAGTGCACACTATCATTCTCTGCAGCGTCTTCCTTGCACCTTTGCACGTCTTCCTTCTTGTTCTACGTGCATCATAGTACGGTAAACAGTATTCTTCATCACTCATAACAATTGCGAATAGAAATTCTCCTCTCGTAATTTCCGTATATAGCGCCGAAGATGGAGATGCCGAAAGCGCCTTTTTTGCTACACAAAAAACTCTGCTTTGAGCAGTCACAAAACAAAGGTCGTCAGGTTTACTTTGAAAATAAAACGCCGTTCTTGTAGAGTAGAATTGGCTCTTTCGGAGGGTACACACATTTTGCGGTAAACCTACCGCTTCACCAGAAAACGACGACAAAATAAAAACGTTACGAACTTATGGAACGACCTAATATATCCAAGCAAAGCACAAGAGTGCTGTGCAAATACCAATAATTTTGTACTCTCCACTTCCATGAATTGGATACTCTAATTCGAAAGCGAATTCAAATTAGTGGACAAATATTTTTTCTCTCAGACTAATCCTTCAGAAGTCGTGAGTCCCGGAACACGCGAACCCAAGCATTGTGCAAATCCCTTAATGGGTTACAGGCGACTGTCCCTTTGCTGACGTTATGTGGACTTTCATAATCAGGGATGGTTGCTGCTACTAGCAACGCGTTGTGAAGTAGTAGTCGAATAAAAAAATTTTCTACCAAGAATCAGTAAGAAAATTTGATTTGTAAAGGCTAATCTGATTTGAACAAGCATTTCCGAATACCAATGTCGCCCTATTCAACCTCTCAATTTTACTGAACTTCTTCGAGTCTTTTACCAGTCAAACATTCTAAAATCTTATAAAGGTGGCAAAGTGAGTTATTCAACGTTCGCATCATGTCTGTACACATCCAGGGCCCGGCAGAAGGTGGCATTCTAGATTTTACAAGACGACTTCCCCTTTGTCTCTGGGAGAATTTTACGAGTTCCCCTTTGAGGCCTGGCACAAGCTATGTCCCTGATCTAGCACGCTCGCAAGATTTGAGCAAAACTACTTTAAAAATCTTATTCCCTTTTAAATGCGTATTAGCGAAGGTAAATCTTATGTTGCTATAGGAGATGATGATCTGTACGCGGTATTCACTATAACACCGCAATTTTAATCAGCTTCGTTTGAAAAAAAAGCTGTAGAAAGCTTATGAGTTTGTATAATCGAACGCAAGACATCGCACACCGAGATGCTAGAGTGGTCAGAAAAATCAACAAATCCTATCAGCACGCTTTTTTATATCATGGTTATAACTGCGCCTAATATACGAAGGCACCTCAAAAATTTCAAAAGAGTATGCCTAATTTTCGATTCAAAACTTTTCTGTACACTTCCCCTGAAAAACAACTCGGGTCGCAACTGATTTGACTTCGACGTTATCCGCAGGTCAAAAATGGCACGCCCTTGTTAATCTGCTAGATGTTCGAACACTAGAAGCACTCTACGACTCTGGTTGCGCTTTGGCAAAAAATCACGTCGTTCCATAGATCATTTACTTGTAAATTTTTGAAATACACGTATACATCGGAAAGTTTTGTAGAGCTACAATCACAATCTACTAAGGCCTATCAGAGCATGACAATTTAAAAAGAAGCAAACGTGTATGAATAATCATTGCCAAGCTATACACGATAAATTTTGAAAATTGCTTACTTTCCACAAAACATTTCGCCAGCAATGAATATCAGGCTATGAAATGCACTGCTATATGCTTTGTCACCGTCGAACGCGTGCGGAGCTATTGCGCACTTGGTAGCAGAGGTCTACGTCCGAACAAGACAGGCAGCATAACCATATCCGCAATCATTTTCCTCTACTTGGCCTGCAGAAAGGTTTATCAATGAGTTTCACCCGTTTTTTTGATTCGATAATAAATACCTGATGATTTCCGTAAAACTCTTATGGAGAGAAAAAGCAGATGCAGAACAAGTAATTCGAAGTATAACAGTCGCACAGTGATTGGCAATGCACTGTTGAAATCACTAGCGTCAAAAGGAAACCCCTCGCTGCTTTTCTGTGCTACACAAAAACGAAAACAGAGTAGGAAGCAAATAATCAAAGAGTTTCTCACATACCTTTTGAACTTTCGAATAGCATCAATTAGGGCAATCAAGTTGATGTGATGGAATGTACAACAGATCAGCACATCACTCGGACCCTATCCCCACCGGTAGCACCGGCATCTAAAAGGATACGTGCTTGCCTCCGTTCAAAGGATTGAGATATAGAATGATGCCCAGTAGAGAAGCATAGAGAGTCGAAGTGCTACTGCTGTAAGAAATCCATGGAGATGTAAAAACCAACGTTTAGACTACTTAAAATCACTCTTTAGCAGCAGATAACCATAAGATTGAGACTTGGGTGATGGGAAAAAAGCGATTCTTGCGGTTTAAACATCCACGCGCAATCAAGAGATCTGAGCAACACCTTGAAATGCAATAATTCCGGAGAGATAAGCATAAATTAAAAAGAGTCATAAGAAGCTTTTGCCTGTAGTGCATAAAATAAACCAAGCATACCAAAAAACTTGCAACCATTGGGGTTGCAATTCAAGAAAATTCACAGCGTTAGGTAATCGAGCGGTCGTGAAATCCGGCGCAATTGCAGAACTGCAGCTAAATCAATGTTAGATTTCAGCACGTAAGGAATAGGCCGCTGTAAGTTCCACTTGCCCTGTAAAGATTGCAGCATAAACGATGTAAAGAAACATCACACGGGAAAAATTAGATCACTTCCGGAAACATCGAATAATACGCAATTTATGAATAAAGAGGACAAGGCACAATCATAGAAAGCAAGTGCTAAATGATACAAAGTGAAAAGTGCTCTTGAATCCGTATGCTCGGCGGGCGGAGGATCCTTTGCGATTGGAGCGCGCTTTCCGTGGCCGATCATAACGCTGGGAACCCTATTTGGGGCTGCATCGAAGCGGTGCCTTGGTGGTTTTGGAAGCGGATCTGAACATATAGTAATACTCTCGATCTAGTCCACATTTATGTAAAGAAATCCGGGAACTTATGTGAAGGGAAGCAGGGAGCCACCCCAGGTGGCTCCCAGGTGGCGCGGGAGCCACCTAATTTCGAAAAACACTTACAATTTTTTAAATTCACATAAGTTTCTCATAATTCTTCATACTTTTTTTGCGCTCATGGTCCTCCAACTATACAGCAAATTTGGTGCCATATCGTTACTTGTGCATTGAAAACGAGCCTATTTTGTTATTTTCCTCTTACAAGAATTGCGATTTGAATTCCCGCCTGCGGGCAGGCTAGCGATCGGAGCACAGAATCTTCACATTGCTGAGATCTGAGTTCATAGGACAGTACCATCAACAAGGAATGATGAATAAAGAATGATATGTGCATTGTTTATCGGTAAACAAAGGGGAAGTCGTATTTTGGGGTCCGGGGCTCCGCCCCGGACCCCAAAAGACGACTTCCCCTTTGCTTTTTCGGGCCAAAAACGATATCCAGCTTGTGAAAGCGCCACCCCCGCCGGGCCCTGTACACATCTGATTATAGTGAATCCAAAATTGAGTTCTTACGAGCGGCCAAACATGTTTTCATGGAAAATTAATTGGAGAAACAGAAAGTCAATGAAATATGGATGAGTCAATGATGCATAAGTTCTGCCCGAATTTTTTGCCTTATGTTTGAAGCAGCTGTTCTGAGAAAATTTTACCTCTAACGCAATACTGTTTATATCAGAAAGCGCTTTTCTTGCTTTTTTCAACATATATCAAATTTCAATAAAATCCTCGTATCTCCGCCGCCTGGGAATTTTAGGCCAGCAATCTCGTTAGATCTTCAAGTGGCGGAGATACGTTCTTACCCAAGAAATATGTTCCTGCAAGAGAATCACGATTTGCCTTTCAATTTGAATCTTTTCATTGGTTGCGTATTAAGGGTGTAACAGGCTAGTATAAGCACAAGCTCAATTTCATGGAGAGGCTCTTCATAAAATTGTGTGGTCTTGCTAGTAAAATCTGTTGTCGAACATTAATTTTTTTGTATAGATGTTCTACAAGTAATAACTTTCTGCCAATAGTGGCAATCGATGAGTTCAAGGTTGGTGGTGCTAGAGTAAAGCAGCTAGCAGGGTCCAACCACCCTTTTACCGCTTGCGCAAGTGTGAAATTTTCATAATATGTAAGTAGGCTTGCATACATGTACTGAAGCGAGGTAAAAAATGGCTTCTTTTTGGTTCGGTCAAAAAATCTCTCCGCACCGAAGACCCTATGGGCACTTTTAGGTTGAAAAATAATCTGGGAAAAATTGTCTACCTATACGTTGACTGATATGCCTGTCAGTTCACAGGGAGCATTGCCATGTCAAAAAAGACAGATTTGAAGACGAAAACTGTTAAGTTTTTGACTTCTTGCTTCCTCTTTGGAAGGATTCTTCTTGAGTCTTGATATTTCTCTGATAGCCAAAGAACTGCTCAATGCAATGATATTAAGATCATGGAAAAAAGTTGACTTTGAAAGAAGTTGTGACATCTTGAATTCGAAAATTCAAATCGGACAGCATTTAAGCACCAGCCTGATATTTCGTCTTTGATGGCTTGGGTTTCAATCTTCTATACTCATAGCTAGAAACTTCACAGCGGAAGTATGGTCTCTGAGATCGTTATATTCGAGAAAAACAACAGAAGCGCTTTTCAGCAAATATGTTTGGGCTCATTCATCTTTCTTCTGGACTATTTGTCTCGTTCAAAGCCGAAGTAACTGCTCAAAAAAAAATCGCTTAATGTTTGCCTATGCTTCTAACATATTTCTTTACCTCAACTATAATTTCCTCGTTCAGGAAACATTTACGCTACTCATCAATTAATCTATTTCCTGTTTATCATTTTGAAGCTTCAATCAATGCGAATGATCAATTTGACGCTTTACCTACCATGGGAAGCTTTTGTATTTTCACATTTATTGCAGCCTGAAAGCCTGAAATGCTTATGGATTCTATCACACCAGCTCTTAAATGGGGATATCCTTTTTCTCATTTATTCACTTACCTACGCAGTGAAATGGGCTCGAGCGACAGCTTAGCTTGTTTTTCATAAGGTTTATCCTCCTTATAAGCTTGCTGTGCTTAAATCCGCCTTCTGGCTTGGCTGCATTTTCTCCATCAATCTTCTCCTGCGTATAACTCTCGTTGATGCGTTTGTAACTCAGTGTGCGCATTACACACCATGCGAGCTACATGGCGACATGTAAGACTAGAAGCTGCTCATTTCCAGTTACTTCTTCTCGTTTCTTTGTTTCTTTGATTTGATTGAATATATACTCGTTAGCAGTACAATTTCTACAACTTGTTATGCTGAGAAAGGTTTTACTGAGGAGTTATTAGTAAGGGTATCGTCGGTTTCCGTGCATACTGTGCAGACTCACGTATCGAGTTACAAATGGTTCTAAGACAATTATTATTCATCTCAAAAGTCTAGCAATTTGCCTCGCGACAAAATCTTATTGCTAGTGATGTGGCTACCAGGAAATCTGTCTTTGTGTTTTTGGAGTGCAGCATACTTTGCTGACTTTTTTCGCAACTTTTCAGATCGGGTAATGAAAATTATGAACTAATCTTGAGCGAATCAAGAGGAAATGATCAGAATTCATTTTACGTGAGATATCGCTGAGACCTCTGTTTCCCTTATAAATCGTCCGTCAAGAAGTCTCGGAAAAAAAATCAGCCATTATGTGATTGTATGTATCGTAGCCTTAATTTAATACAAATTGAAAAAAACCTTAAAGTCAAATTTGTCTACTCACGCATGAACAGCGCTATTGTGGAGAATATAGAATTGCAAAACTGAAATCTTATAAACTACTAAATTGTTGTTTACAATACAATGAAAGCTGCATACTTTGCATTTTTGCAGTGTTACTTCTTAGAATTTTTGTCCAGATTGCCTTTCCCAAGGTGTAAAAATGATTATCAAAATTTCATGTAAGAGACTATATCTGCTATATCGGTCAAAAACGGCGAAAAGTCATAGACTGCATCATCAATAAACTAATATCTCGTTTCCACAATCACAAATGCATAAATATTCAAGTTGAAAAGCAATTTTAATTCAACCAATTCAACGTTTTCAGTGAAAATGTTGTCTGACAGGCGAAAGCTTGTGTTGAAGCTCATTTAATTGAATTTTACATCAAGCATATGTCTGATCATATAAATAATACTCGCAGATTATAACTTCCTTGTTTGAATGTTGAGGAGAAAAAATATCTCGATATATAGTATTGATTCAATTCAACAAGCAAATAAAGTTAAAGTCTTCCTTCAGTATATTGTTTAGAAATGTCAAATTTGATCGGAATCAGAGCCGCTCACCCTCTCAAGTAATCCTAGCGGCGTATTTTCTTTCAAATCCAGGAAATTCGTGCGAATTTTTTGTCCAATAGTCCACAAACATCAATTCGTGAGCGCTTACGTATAGTTCCGTTTGCGAAGCGCACGAACAGTCATGCGAATTGCTTCTATTCAATTTCTGTCTTGTTCTGTGCTGTTTTCTGTGTTCCTGCATTTGTAATAGAATATCAAACCGCTTTATGTTTGAACATTTTTACAACAAGAATTAAAGTGTTTAGAGATTGATAGAACAGACGAGTTTCCAATATCTCCTTCATGTCGTTTGGAGACTGTAATTTTTTGTCTCATATTAAGCCTAGTGCTCTATAAAAAGGAAAACATTATTTTTTTTGAAATACGCTAACAAGCTAGTACGAAATGTTACATAGTATAGGTGTGAAACGATGTTTATTGTAGCAAGACAAATGATTGCAGCTGTTGTTTCTTCACTGAAAAAAACCGAAAGAGAATCCATGCCCGAGTTCCTCAGATCACTTCTTATCGAATCTTTTGCATCGATCATTAGCAACGACTCTCACAGCGAGTTTTGAGAAAATCACGCGTAGCTTTCTTATCATTTTTATATGGGATAAAATTTTATAACAAGTAATGATTTATTTACTCACCCAAAATTTTCTGTGATGTTTCCATAGTTGTAAATGTATGTATCATCGACTTTGTAACTTTTTATACTTATTATACCCATGTGCTCCACTTGACCACCTTCAAGATCACCTGGTCTTTTCACTGATTTCTCCTTGTTTCCCTCTTTTGAGATAGGATATTTATTACTTTTACAAGAGAAGGGTACCTGGTCGAAGTGGGGTCTTCATAAGAAATGTACAGTGTTTTATAGTGCATGAAACGCTGATTCCGAATCTGCTTTCCTCATCTGCAAAGCGCTTCTGGGAGGGGAGTTCTGGGAATTTTTTGTAAAAATTCAATGATTTGGCTAAGGTTAAAACAGATTTGAGATCTTTCCAGCGCCTGAAAGGAGT